AAACGTTTCAATAGATTACCACTTGTTTCACCAATATAATCATAATCACCGCATTGACATGTTAGTGCATAGATAATATTATCTGTATTACATGAAGCAGGACAATTAAGAATGGATTCATATCCATTGACGAAACGATATTTTTGATATAGATTAAATGTTACAGAATGTTGTCGACGATTATTTGCTTGATTCAATGAACAACATAATGAACAACTATGACATGGTGTCATAACATAACGACATTCTGGTGTCGTTGTACAAAATATACCTTCACTTTTTTTTCTTGGTTGTGCTTGACGAAATGAACATGTTTTCATATAGAATAAATCAATATCAATTTGTAAATAAAATTCCAATAATTGTGGGAATTCTTTTTCATTCATATCAAAATTAAATCTAATAGATCGTCTCGACGGTAACACACGAATGTATGCTAAATGACATAAATGAATAAATTTTTTTAAACGTAAATAATTATAATCCAAAATAGACAAATCCACATTCAAACGTTCAATAATTGATTCATAATATGTATTGTATTGTTGAACCATAAATGATGTTGTCAATGCAGTACGATCTTGAATTGAAAAACTACATTTATATGTACCTTGTTGACGATATGTTCGTTCTTGTGAGGATAATTGACTGTTGGAAATATTAGCCAATAATAATAATATTGATGGTTGATCATTGATATTATTATTCGTTGATGGATATGTTGGTAAAATAGATAGACGTTCTTGATTCTTAGACGTAAGTGTATATGGTAAATAGTTTTGTTGAGATAGATCATATGAAAATTTCATTGGTGAAGTTAAACCAATTTCTTCTGGTATTCTGGCTGCTGTTGTTGTTAAGGATTGTTTTGGTACAACTGATTTTGATTTTTTTGAATAAGATGTTGCTACTTGTAATTGATTTATTGTTGATATGATCGGTTTTCTATCGTCTTGACTATGTTTTTCGTTGATATTATTGTCAATCTCATCATCAGATGATAATACAATACATTGTATACGTCGAGAACGAATTTGTTGAATATTTCGACTCATTATGATATATCTAAAATGACAAACTACGGAAATGTAAAATCAAAACTAAAAAAAAGTGAAAAAGAAATTAAAAAATGTCGAATATAAGTATAATTTTAAAATTTACAATTATTTGAATAATTATTAGTTTATTTAGATTGTATACGAGGTTAATTGAGATACAACTTAAACACTAAAAGATATAGAATAAATAAAATTATAAATAAATTTAATCATACAAATGAAACTTACAGTTGACAAATGATGATATACATGTTTTCATATGATTCTTATTAATTATTATCATTATTATTAT